AACAGTTCATATCGCACAGGACTGAAGGGCTCCAGGTATGATGTTCTCCCAGGAGTGGCTTGTGAACTCGACCTTGCCATTAGGGTTGGAAGGCTGGCTGCAGTTCTAACTTGGAATCATGTGTGCAAACTTGACTGACATACATGAAATAGCTCTTAGACTGGCCTACTAAAATGGCTCTGAAATTCTGCTTGGCCATAACTATATTCTGAAAAAATCTACTAAATTCCCCTTAAATTCAGCATGCTTTGATAAAGAGACAAAGATTTCTCTATACTGTACCCGAGAATTATGATATATAACAGATAAACAGGAGGGGAGCTTCCCCTATTTCCTTTTTACAGTATCATCCATGCCTATATGCAAAACACTTAATAAAATAGATCATGGCCCCAAACTCTCGTATATGTCATATTATGGCTATAAATTTTACATATCAAACAGGCATAATATCAAGCCAATTAGTACTCTATTAGTGAAGATCTGGACACACAAATATATAAAGATCTGGAAAGGGCCTTAGATATTCTTAATTGGATTGAAAAAAAAATACAACGATACTTGAAAATATACCCCAGAGCCAGAATTTAATCTTACATATTAATGTATTTTCAGCCCTTGGATTAGGAAAACCTTTAGATAAATGTATGTCACATGCTACCAATGCACAAAGTATTTGTAAATTACACACTTAAGGCCCAGCACTACCCATTGATGATGGGGAGTTTGTGCAGTAGTGATAAAAAAAAATGAATAAACTTTTAGAATTCATAAAGAAGGAGATAGAAAAACGTATACTGAAAATGTTATCATGCAGATATTTAAATTAATGGTATGCCATCACCTGAAATACAACTTTTACTTCTGGTGATAAAGTTTCAATTCAAAGATAAAGTAGAAGTACAAGGAGTTCAGAGATAGATGGCAGAAGTGAGTAGATAGAGACAAGATATGTGTGAGGTGACATTTCTTATTGGACCAACTTGTGTTGGTGGAAGGTTCAAGCTTTCGAGCTGCACAGAGCTCTTCTTCAGATCAATAATTAGAAATTATTAGAGTCAAGGATAGACTCTCTGTATGAAGACAGAGTCAAACGAATAGGACTGTTTAGAGAGGAGACCAAAAAGGGGGGATACCAAAAGAGGTGTCTAAAACAATGGGTGACATAGAGAGGGTAACTGAGAGCTCTTGCTTATCCTCTTTCTATAGGCACAAGGACATATTCAAAGATAGCGAAAGGCAAAGAATATAAAACTGATACAAGAAAACATCACACCATATAACTGAGCTGTAGAACTCATTGTCACAAGACGTCATTGAGGCCCAGAGTGTAGTAGGATTCAGAAAAGGATTATTTTTTTCCATGAATAACAAGAAAGAATATTGAGAGTTTCAGTATTTAAGACAAAACATTGTTTTAGAAGGGATGTGAGCTCTCATTCAGCCAAGCATCAGTCAATGACTAACTGTCTGGGTTTAGAAAGAAACTTCCCTTATAGGAGGTATTTTTTGCTTCAACTTCTTCCCCACTGGTAATTCAGATAAAAGATACTCTTCCTGACTGGAATTTGACAGGCACAGGTGGTATAATACAATGGTTGACATAGAGAGGGTAACTGGGAGCTACTACATTCTGCAACATTTTCTGAGTCAGATGGTACCAGCCTCTGTCAGAGATAGGACACCAGACTAGATGGACCACTGATCTGATCTAGTATGGCAATTCCTGTGTTCCTAAATGTTGACAAAACATTTGACAGAAAAATGTGCTATAAATTCTATAATGAACAATTTAAGTTTTGGACTCTAATTTCATCCTCCCTACTGTATATGAATTATACATGAGGGCAGGTGTACTTTTTTCCCCTTAAATTCAGGGAACATGTGGTGAATGCTATGTCTATAGGCAAAGAGTGAAGTTTTTTGTAGGGGAGAGGCTAACCTGTTTTTTCCTTTTCTCCTTCAGCCTTGTTTCTTTATATACCAAGCCTCCTGCAACATGTTCACCATAGCTGTGATGCACATTGCACACTACTTACAATATTTTGTTCAAAAAGTTTGATAGGAAATAAGCATCTCTATCATTTATGGGTAATGGCCAAACCACTCCAGGAGACAAGTCTATCTACTAAGTTCTAATACTGTACTCATTACCATGGTATCTGAATGCTATACAATGAAAAATAAGTTAAAAATGGGAAAAAAATTCTTGTGCCTCTTGTTCTTCTTATTTATGATGTGTTTGGAGGGTTTTTGGTCTTAATGGCTTTATGTGTACATATATATATATATATAAAAATATCCCCATATTTATAAATATGCATATAGCTGTGATTCCATTCCACGCTCCTAACTAGTGTATGTCTTTGAGGATGTAGAGATGGCATTCATTAAAATGAGATTTTCAAGATAAGACAGTGAAGAACTGCAGACTTGCAAACCCCCAAACAAGGGAAGAAAACTTATATGTATATATTACTTTATGTCATAGCGGGTTGTATATCTTTGTATCTCATTGCAGAAAAGGGACAATGTTTGTGCCTTTAAAGTCTAACTTGCAATAAGCACAGCTCCACTTTGGCATTTGATCAAACTCAACTGGTCTTTAGTGTTAGGACCAAACAGTTTTCCCATTGATTGCAATGGAAGCTTCAATAACAACTTTTAAACACAGAGTAAATCCCACAGACTCTATGCGCCCTCTTATTTCTCATTTGTCCATATTTGTTTTTTTGTTTTGTTTTAATGAAGGCATTTATGCTTTGCATTGAAACATGAAAAATGCCTTTTCACTTGGCCTAGCTACTCTTCTTTCAGCTGCGTCTCTAATAGCTGGACCCAAATCTGCCATCACTGGGCACACTGCATTTCCATTGGCTTTATCTGTAGCTGCACAAATGGAAAAATGACAAGATATGGCTTTGTAGTGATGCCTGTTTGTCAACAGCAGACTAGGGGAATAGTGCATTATACAAGCAAAAAACTTGAAGAAGAAAGCAAACTGTTTTCTGTTCATTTACAAATTGTTATTAAAATAATATGCAAATACTGTGTAACCCTTCTGCCAGGTGGAGCCAGCAGCAACCAGGGCCGGATTCAATATCTAGGGGGCCATTTCCAATGATACAACACAGAACCGCCTCAAGCTCCCACCCAGTAACCTCAGAAATTTACACACCACCCAGGGTGCCTCTGAGAGGCAGTACTTCCCCACTCACACCCACAGCATCTGAGTGTAGAAAAGAAACTTTTAATAAAAGGAGGGAAGTAACTTGGCGTTTATTTGGGAAAACACTGCAAACATAGTTCATAAACATAAACCATGATTAGAAGACCCATCACCAAGTAGGTTGGACAGTGTCCTTTTCCCCTCAGGTTCTTAAGTCCAGCAACCCAAAAGCCCCCTTCACGTGCCCAACCTTTCTCTGCACTCACTCACAGTTGCTGTGCTTGGTCAGTACAGACCCAGAATTCAGAGGTGCATCTGCATAGTTCACCTCCCACCCAGGGGAGGGAGGGTAAAGAGGCACCTTATTTGCTCCATTGCTCAGGCACTTGCTTGCTACCCCTCTCTGCCAGCCACCCTGCTGGCCACTCACTGGTTGCTCCCGCAGGCCACCTGTTCACCACTCCCGCCATGCCTTTCTGCCGCCACCCTGCTGGCCACCTGCTCACCGCTCTTACCATGCCTCTCCACCAGCTGCCCTGCTGGCCACTCATCATGCCTCTCTACCAGCCACCCTACTGGTCGCTCGTCACACCTCTCCACCAGCCACCCTGCTGGTTGCTCGTCATGCTTCTCTGCCACCGCCCTGCTTGTTGCACTTCTCTGCCTCACCAGCCACTCATTCACCAGCTGACTGTCAATCACCATCTCCTGCCACCTGCCTCTCTGCCGTGATCTCTACACATCAGTCTCTTAGTAATTTCCAGGTCTGGGCAGGCAGGGCAGAAACACAGTTCTACCACATTACCACCACTGGTTTCAGTTCTGACTGAGCAATTTAACATAACAAAAGAGGCTCCTAATGAAGCCTATTTAGCTCTATTCCTACAACAGTGGGGAACAGGTTAAACCAGTCTTAGAGAGGACACTTGTTGAGGGTCTGAAGACGTGGGGGGGGGGGTTATCCACAAAAATGTATGCCTAAATAAATCTGTTAGTCTCTAAGGTGCTACTGGACCCCTCATTGTTTTTTGTGGATTCAGACTAACATGGCTATCCCTCTGATAATTGTTGAGGGTGTGCAATCTCATAGCTAGGAGACCTGTCTCTTGCCCCCTCACAGAGCTCTGACATTTGTGCCCTCGGCTTACCAAGGTTATTTCAACTAAGGGTGACCCCCTCCTTTGGGACAGGTTAAGCACAGTCCTACTTTTCTGTATTCCCACAATAATTACAACATTGGTAACCATATTTCATTACCCCTGCATTTAGCACTAAAGTGATTTGTACCCAACCCTAGCCAAGTTGATCACTTTGATACCATAGTATCTGCTAAATATGTAAGCAAAGTAGGAACAAACTGTATTTACATAAACACACTCAAGTCTCTTCCCCTTCCAGCTAGCTGTCAGGGAAGCATTCATTCAGACCCTGCATATATCTGCATACTTTTATTAAATTAATCACAATACTTTAAATTTAATTTTAATTTCTTTTGCTAATAAATCATAAGATGAAAGACATTTGGTAAAAATGTTGCCAGGCAAACTCAGCAATAACTTGGCTTGGGGCATGTGTTTTCTTCCTGTTTGTAACACTGTAGAACTTTGTTTCCAAAACAGAGAAATAAAAATAACACTAACAGCATAGCAGCATTTTACACAGCGAATCAGAGTGCTAATTACTGAGCAAAATCCTTCATTCCTTTTGCAAAACAACTTTGCAATATAACAGCCAGTCACTAGCATTGGAACTGTGATTTGCACACTACAATGTGCTGTAACTCTATGGGATTTTCATTCTCCTTTGCTAGACATGGAATTTCATTACTCACCTGCAAGCTAAGAAAGGGCTGTGGGAGGTCCTTCATGCAGCATAACCTGTGTAAGGGAGGGGGAGAAAGAGGAGCAGGATCTCCGCTTCCTGTGTTCTGCAAGCATTTCCTGTATCCCAAGGCTAATACACACAGCCTGTGTAAGCAGTGTGAGCTAAGAACCGCACAATGAAGCAGGAGAATATGCTTCTTACACCTCTTAGACCACATAAGAAATGAGTGAGCAAGCTATATTGTACACAAGAACCTCAGAGTTAGGAACACTAGAGTTAGGAACTGACCAGTCAACTCATTTGGAACCAGATGTAGGCAGTCAGGCAGCAGCAGCAGAGATAAACAAACAAACAAAGCAAATACAGCACACTACTATGTTAAAGTTCAACGACTACAAAAAATAAAGGGAAAGTTTTAAAAAAAACTATTGGACAAGATAAGGAATCTGTTTCTGTGCTAATTTCATTTCAATTAAGATGGTTAAAAGCAGCATTTTTCTTCTGCATAGTAAAGTGTCAATGCTGTAAACTTTTGAAAGAACAACCATAACATTTTGTTCAGAATTATAAACACTTCATAGTTCTGAACAACCTCCATTCCTGATGTGTTTGTAACTCTGAGATTCTACTGTCCTTTGTTCACTACTATTTGAAGAGTCCTTTAAAGACTGACCTCCTAAGACCCAATCAAAACTTTTAGGAGTTGCCGTTGAATCACAAACACAACCTCATCCTCCCTGAATCTGCCCCTAGCCCTTTACCCTGCCCCAGGTCTGCCTCTGTGCACTCCTCTCTCCCCACCCAAGTAATCCACTCCACAGATGTTTTATCTAAACCAGGATTTAGGCACACACTGTGTGGTAACAGCTGTGTTCCTCAATTTGTGAGCTAGGAACCAGGGAGTGCTTAGTATCTGTGAGTGCCCAGTATGCTCAGCCAAGAATCTCCTTTAGGTTTCCTATACCTGAATCCCGTCTTTTCTCCATCAAGAGGGACAACACTCTACTGTCCCTCTTCCCTCCAGCCCCAGCCTGCTTCAGCAGCCCTCTTTCACCCTATAAGAATATATTAGCTCTCCCCTTTTAAGCAGTATTGTGTGTTAATACAGTACTATGGGTTTGAGGTGCAGCTGAACCCACTTACACAGCAGTTCCCCTCCTCAGTGTATATATACACACACACACACCACTCAGTCTTCTGCTTCCAGCCTTTTCAGGTTTCTCCACCCCAACTTCCTGCACTCGTCCTCTGTCCATAGCCATTTATTACATCAGCCCTCAGTGAACTTCATTACTGCTGAAGACAAATAATTTCACTGCAATTACTGTTTCCAATGCATTATCCAAAGTATTAAAGGAGCATTATACATTAATTTGGTTGTTGTTTTTATTCCCTTGTTTTACCATCCTAAGAGAAACTGGAAATTAGATTTGATTTACATATACATGTGCTTACAGCAAGTATATTTTTCAGTGTTTCTGGAAGCCACTTCTATATGTCTCCTAGGTGGCTGAGCTCTTGCAATCTAATAGTAGTCTAGCTCTGCAGCATCTGTTATGCTTTCTACAATATCACACACACAATTTACAGTTTTAGGGCTAGATTGTAAATGCACAATCTGCCCTGTGTGTGAGGCAGTGCATAACTGCATTGCTCCAAAAGTAGCACAGGGGAGAAATGGTGCCTTAGAAAGGCATGACTCTTACCCTGTTTGCCCCTTTCTCCAAGGGTAATGTGCTACTGGCCCTTACCGGTAGTGGATTCCAATTCCCTGCCTGTACACCCACTGTCCCTCCATGCCAACACAATGACTGTGGGCAGATGCAAGATTCCACCCACTCACTGCCCCTTTCCACCTACCTTTTCAGGCCTGGATCCAAGGTCTGGCAAAGCCATGCAGGGGTGTATCTCTTACTCTCCTACACAGCTGTGTAGGCCAGGCCACCATATGGCCCTTAGTTACAAGCAAGTGAACCATTACATCAGGGGCCCTAATGACAAGAGGACTCCACAGACAACACTGGCTGTGATCAAACCAACCTTCCTGTACCCTAATGCACAGGAAAGACTGGGAGAAAAGTCAATGCATCCACAATAACATATATTAATTTTCTAGCCCCACCCCCTCACCCCAACCCACTTGAAAAGAGGTGTGTGCATGCATGCAGCAGCCAGAGTGACTACTATGCCCACATACCATTTCCTTGGGCCATAGGTTGGGAAGAGGAATTGGCCGTGTAAGTGGGTTCTGTAGCATTTCAAACCCACAGTGCCTGCATCATCCTTCCACTAAGAACACGTTAGCATTCCCCTTTCGGTAGAACTGTGTGTTATCCCCTTGCTCCATATCATACATCATCTTATGAAACACCTGAAATCATTACAATGCATGCTTATTTTGAGACAGCGGCACAATCTGATGTTTTGACATTAAAAATCTTTGGCAAATCCGTTACTCAGTGCACAAAGACTGAATCAGCCCTTCTCAAAGATTTATTGTTTTAGGTCCTTCATATCAGACATCCATTCACTTTGCAGAGCAGCTTCTTTTAATAATTCCACTCAGGCTTTCAGCACTGCTGCTGTCACTGCTGCTCCTGCACTATAAGTACAATCAATAGCTGGGTGGACAAAAATTAAATCATTTAATGGATTTCTGGTTGAGTTGATTTAGGTCACAGGGTTGCCCACCGCTTCTGGCAGCCAACATGATTTCATATTCCTGTATTGTCATAACAATGCACATTTCCACTTGGTTGCTATCCTGTGGCATGTCTGAGCAGAGAATACAGCTTAGCTGGGGCATGTGAGGTTACGAGAGGAACCTATCATAGCTACGGTCACCGGCACAGAGGTTTCACATCAGCTTTGTTGGTTATTACAGTAATGGCTATCGGAAGGGTCTGCCTAAAAAGCATGTTGCTTTCTTTCCCTGGAGAATATTACTGTTGAAAACCATACCTGGTCTGCAAGTGTAGACATTCAGCCTTTTCCAGTAGGAGTCTTGTAATACAGTATATTCCTTTGCATGGTATACGCAGTTGCTGCCATTGAAAAGTTGCTTTTACCAATAATTACCACACCATGTTACCGGAGATACTTCAATTATTTTCTCTTCTACTTTTAGGGAAATGGGTAAAGGGTCCCTGGTTGGCATAATAGCTCTACGCTTCATAGGTCCCAGGGGACAACGGGGTGCCTAAAGATTGGCAATCCCTGGTGGCAAAATGGCCTATAGGTTGCTCTAATTTATGCCAGGCTAGCTCCTACCCAGAGGCAGGGTCAGCAGAATACAAAGCCACATTTGTTCCTCCACCCTGCACTGAGTACACTTTGGGCAAGCCAGAGAATCTATATATAGCACAGCACTCTATTCACCCCCACTCACTTAGTCTTCCTCCAAGCTTTTCTGCAGGCAGAAAACCAATACAGTGATGGTCTGCCTGGAGCTGGGTTTCAGCACCTTAAGGAGCCCACACCCTTCACTATGGCATGAGGCCCTGAGCTGGATGGGACACCTGAGAAAGCAGGTGGGGCTGGAGAGGACAGTAGCTTGCCAGACACCCAGGAGTACCACTGTTATGTCCCCTCAGCCAGGAGTGTCATAGAATCCCAACTACACATTATAGCTGCCCTCCCCTGACAGAAAGCTCTGGAAATCTGTGTTGGAAGCACCTGGTACAGCTATCTCTGTTGGCACAACAAGGTGTAGTTTGAACACACAACCTGCCATCGGTGAGGGTAGCGAATCCAGCCCAGAATGGGCTAAACATTATGGTCTATTGCATCAATATGTAATCATAAACCTGCATATTACACTATACCTAATCATAGATTTTTTTTTACAGAATGTTTTAGCTACTCGATCGCATGCAATGGCTTGGAGTAAATAGGCATTTTAATCTGTTTTTAATTGGCATGTTATACTTCTGAATCAGGAATAAAAGGAATTAATAAATGTTACAAAAATGGAATGGGATAGCAGCTAAACTTGAATAAAGGGATTATAGTCTATGGAGTAAGTAAGTATGTATAAATTAATTTATAAATATATTTGAAATGCTAATCATTTAACCACCAGGCTATAACAGCTTGTTGTGCACCATTATAATTTGTCATGTAAACACCATATTTTGAAACAAAATAAAACCATGAAAAAAGAAAATAGTAAGTGTGTGTAAACAGCAGTAGCCTTAGCTAACCATCATTCATGTTGTTTGTTGTTCTTGTTGCTTTTTTTAAATCAACTCTGTTCTCTCATTGGGGAACCCAAAACAGTTTTGCATCTGGCCAATTCAATTTCCCTTGAAACTCTTATAATTTAAGAAGAGCTAATTAAAAACATCAGGCTAGATTGTGGCATATTTGCACCAGATCAGATTCTAGTCCTTATATGTGCACTCTGACTGCTTTGCAACAGTGCAATAATGCTAGATCTTAGGTACATATAAGGCCCCCATTACCCTACTCTCCAAGTGCCTCACAATCTTTAATTGTGTTTATCCTCAGAAAAACCCTGGGAGGTAGGAAAGTGCTAGTATCCCCATTTTATATACGGGGAACTGCGGCCCTGATCCTCAACGGCAGTTAGGTAGTTAACTCCCATTGATTTAAGCACCTAAACACCTTTGAGGATCTGGCCAAAGTCCCACAGGAAGTCTGTGGCAGAGCAAGTGCTTGAGGTCTCCTAAGCCTCCTAAGCCAGGCTAATGCCCTGACCAGTGTCCTCCCATTTTTTGAACTCCATCCACTCATCCCTTTTCCCCTCTCCATATGTCATACACTGGGTGCTAGGTACTGGCTACTCCAGCTCTACGTCTCTGCAGAGATTCCTGTTATACTGGGAGAATTCCCAAGAAGTCAGTTAGTTTCTTAGCTGATTAGGATGGGGGTAGTAGCTACATTTTCTGACAAACTTATACCTCAGGAATAACATGGGATCATTGGACCCACGAGAGTTAAAATTTCACTTATACTGCCTTAAGCGTCAGTGTTGCAAACTGACACTCTGTTCAGCATATGTAGGAGTTGGGTAGCAGAAATAATACGAGAGAAAGA